TTTTTTTGCCATTTCCTATGGCTCTCCGTCGGCACCTGTGAAAATTCAATTCCTCTTTGCGGACGATCCTTGCACATACCATCCAAGTCACATCTGCCTTTCTGTTTTTTTTTTGCATATGTTGTTTCTACTCAACCTCGAGCGGGATTTTGGTGATGCATCTTTGCTTCATAAGATTTATGAAGTTCTTGTATACAGATGTTTAAGTGTCGTTAATGAATCATCTATTGCAGTATGTAAAGATTTTACGAAGTTTCTACTTTGGTATATCTTTTTTGAGCAAAACTGTTTGAAGCTTTCAAATATTGGCTCATTAAAAATTGCTGTTATCATTGTCACCTTATATTTGCATCTAGACGCCCCGATATTTCGGTCATACACTTAACGATCTCTCTTCACCCTCAGCTGATTGATGCAGGATATTGCGCTCAACGAGGTGAGACGTTTTAAGTTTTAAACTTGTAATAATTGATTAAAGTCTCCAAATCTCTCTGATGCCTCACTAGAACATCTTCAGGTTCTTCATTTCAGACTACTGATGGAGAGCGTAGTAGCATACGGTCGTCAGAAGAAGGTGCTAGCGAATCTCCAGGAGGAGATGACCGTGAAAGGCTTCGTCTTTTACAAAAAATTGATTTAGCGAGAGAACGCTTAAAGATTACGAGTCTGGAGAGGGAACGTAAGTGCTCGCTTTCTTTGAAGCTTCCATAGTGTCACTAAGCTTTCAAAAGTTTTTTAGGCGACGTTGAAGAGTTCTTAATGATGACGCATGGATCCGAGTGCCAGAAAGGGGCTGATAACCCTCAGATGGCACGCCTTAAGCAACACTTTGAGAAGAAAAATAAAAGACACACTAGTGAATTGGAACATCTTCAAGTATGCTATTACATACGCAAAATCAGTTCTCTCTTGTCTTTCGCACACTTCAAGAAAATGCATAAGTTTGAAATAACGTTTGTAGCGAAGAGCGTTGCTACTACAAATTGCAAGACTTCATGCACATACATATGATTAGTGTTCAGAGGAAGTTAGCGAATTATGAACAACGTTTGGCGGAAATTGAGAATGGAATAGGTGAATCAGGGAGTCGTGCCACCGTAATTTCCACAGTTGGGCAGGGTATCAGGTGAGGATTAATCGTGCAGAATTTTTCACATTTGCAGCAAAGATCGGTCTCATACTAGTCATAATATATCGTTAGTATATAGAGAAACTAGCTTTTCATTTAGAAGAACAGGTGCGAACTTGAAAGGAATGACAGAAACTGTAATTTCTGCTCCATTGGAATTAGCACAACGCATAAAAAGCACATTTGGATCAGCCGATAACGTAAATGAATCTGGGGAAGGTAGTTATTTGTAATTTGTTCATATGTGCTGGAGAACATCTGCGAAGCTTTAGGAGCTAGTTCGGATTTACGTATAGGTCACTCCAAGTTCTATGCAAGCTCTGACTATGGAAGTCCAAATCAAGCCACCACTAGCAGGTAAAGTGTGCATATTTGCTATCAAGTGTTTTGAGTTGCGAGCATCAATATTATAGGTATAATTCGAGGAAGTCAGATTCTCTTCCTGCTCATGCATCTTTAATAAAAATTGCAACCCCTGCTAAATCTCGTGTCCTAGATGGTGATACGTCAGCCACTGCTGACGATTCTGAGTTAGCAAAGGGGGAAGGTCCGGAACAGGTAGCATCATCATTCACACATTT